GGGATATCTATACCCTAAACGGGTATGGGAACCAAATAATGGGGATATGGAACGCGATTTCTGAACAGTTTAAAAAAGTTGTTGTTAGGCTAGATTAGAATAAACTATCAGGTGTGTTGCTGGCTAGCCATATGTAAAGTAAAACCAAGCTATTGACATCTTTTGAAGTCATTCTGGTACTTAATAGCTCCTGTGATGATGATCTTCCACAGTCAAGTGAAGGTGGTATAGGGACGTACTGGCCAATCCACTGTGGGTCTCTAATCGTAAAAAAGGTTAAGAACGCTTGATTTAGAGGATCATCAATTAATTAAAAACTCACAACACGATCTCCTACCTGATTTTTTTTAAATGCAAAATATATTTCAAGACAATTTTAATATGAATGGGAGAAGCTAGATATAATGCAGCTAAATTTTCAGAGTTTTGACAATGTTCAGCAGAGACTAGTTTCAAGGCGCGTCATACAGATGTTTACTAATATTGGCTGCAAACTGGTTTACCAGGATGTAAACAATGAGATTTTTTTTTTCACAAAATATGAATGAGAATAGACGTAATGTGTCTGAGCGGTCAGTTTGGAGAGAGTTGTTACGTTGTATAACATCAACTTAAAGGTGATAGTACTAACCCAGAGAACAATGTTATAACATCATTTCAAAAACAAATTTAATGCCAGTGTAGGAAAATGAGTTGCAATAGTAGTGGAAAAAACAAAAAACCAAAAGTTATTTTAAGAAAGGAGTAAGAGACCTACATTATAAAGATTTAGACACTGTCTTGCCCTTGAAGTTTTGGCCTAATCAAAATATCAACAATTATTTTGACACCACATGTAATATATTACAAGAGAGTAACTATGTGTGTGTTTCTTCTAAGAATATTGTATTACTCATGTTTATATTACTTTTATTGAAGAAATGAACTTAGCTGAGCACCCAAAACACACACACACACACACACACACACACACACACACACACACACACACACACACACGGTAACTAACACACTCCACACACAGACACACAGACACACACACACACACACACACACACACACACACACACAACACACACACACACACACACTCAGAAGTGTCCCTGTTTGCAGATGATGTGAAGTTAATGAGGAGAATTAAATCTGATGAGGACCAGGCAGGACTTCAAAGAGACCTGGACAGACTGGACACCTGGTCCAGCAAATGGCTTCTCGAATTTAATCCTGCCAAATGCAAAGTCATGAAGATAGGGGAAGGGCACAGAAGACCACAGACAGAGTATAGGCTAGGTGGCCAAAGACTGCAAACCTCACTCAAGGAGAAAGATCTTGGGGTGAGTATAACACCGAGCATGTCTCCGGAAGCACACATCAATCAGATAACTGCTGTAGCATATGGGCGCCTGGCAAACCTGAGAAGAGCATTCCGATACCTTAGTAAGGAATCATTCAAGACACTGTACACCGTGTATGTCAGGCCCATACTGGAGTATGCAGCACCTGTTTGGAACCCGCACTTGATAAAGCACGTCAAGAAACTAGAGAAAGTACAAAGGTTTGCGACAAGGTTAGTTCCAGAGCTAAGGGGAATGTCCTATGAAGAAAGATTAAGGGAAATCGGCCTGACCACACTGGAGGACAGGAGGGTCAGGGGAGACATGATAACGACATATAAAATACTGCGTGGAATAGACAAGGTGGACAAAGACAGGATGTTCCAGGGAGGGGACACAGAAACAAGAGGCCACAATTGGAAGTTGAAGACACAAATGAGTCAGAGAGATAGTAGGAAGTATTTCTTCAGTCATAGAGTTGTAAGGCAGTGGAATAGCCTAGAAAATGACGTAGTGGAGGCAGGAACCATACACAGTTTTAAGACGAGGTTTGATAAAGCTCATGGAGCGGGGAGAGAGAGGGCCTAGTAGCAACCGGTGAAGAGGCGGGGCCAGGAGCTAGGACTCGACCCCTGCAATCACAAATAGGTGAGTACAAATAGGTGAGTACACACACACACACACGGTAACTAACACACACCACACACAGACACACACACACACACACACACCACACACACACACACACACACACACACACGGTAAACTAAACACACACACACACACACACACACACACACACACACACAACACGGTAACTAACACACACCACACACAGACACACACACACACACACACATAGAGAGAATGGAAAACCATACCACGGGCGGGATTGAACCCGCGGTCAGAGAGCCTCAAAACTCCAGACCGTCGCGTTAGCCACTGGACCAGCTAGCTACAATAAGATTCGTCCAACTAGGTATATTTCTACACCATAGGAAAAAAGTACAGAAGGCAGAGAACACATGAAAATGGGGAGATTAGTCGCAGAGCCAGGAACGAGTATGCACAGTATGAAAATAACAAAGCATCGAAAATCAAGACTGACCCGAAACTGTTGTATAACCACATCAGGAGGAAGACAACAGTCAAAGACCAGGTGATCAGACTGAGGACAGAAGGTGGAGAACTCACAAGCAATGATCAGGAGGTATGTGAGGAGCTAAACAGGAGATTTAAGGAAGTTTTTACAGTAGAGACAGGAAGGGCTCTGGGAAGACAGCACAGAATATACTAACAAGTGTTGGATGACATACGAGCAACCGAGGAGGAGGTGCAGAAGCTGCTAAGTGACCTTGATACCTCAAAGCGATGGGACCGGACATCTCCCCGTGGGTCCTTAGAGAAGGAGCAGAGATGCTGTGCATGCCCCTAACCACAATCTTCAACACATCCCTTGAAACTGGGCAACTACCTGAGAAATGGAAGACAGCAAATGTAATCCCCATATTTAAGAAAGGAAACAGAAATGAGGCACTAAACTACAGACCTGTGTCTCTGACGTGTATCGTGTGCAAAGCCATGGAGAAGATTATTAGGAGGAGAGTAGTGGAACACCTGGAATGGAACAAGATTATAAATGAAAACCAGCATGGGTTCATGGAAGGCAAATCCTGTGTCACAAACCTTCTGGAGTTTTATGACAAGGTAACAGAAGTAAGACACGAGAGAGAGGGGTGGGTTGATTACATTTTCCGACTGCAGGAAGGCCTTTGACACAGTTCCCCACAAGAGATTAGTGCAGAAGCTGGAGGATCAGGCGCATATAACAGGGAGGGCACTGCAATGGATCAGAGAATACCTGACAGGGAGGCAACAACGAGTCATGGTACGTGAAGAGGTATCACAGTGGGCGCCTGTGACGAGCGGGGTCCCACAGGGGTCAGTTCTAGGACCAGTGCTATTTTTGATATATGCGAAAGACATGATGGAAGGAATAGACTCTGAAGTGTCCCTATTCGCAGATGATGTGAAGCTGACGAGAAGAATTAAATCGGATGAGGATGAGGCAGTACTGCAAAGAGACCTGGACAGGCTGGACATGTGGTCCAGAAACTGGCTTCTCGAATTCAACCCTGCCAAATGCAAAGTCATGAAGATTGTAGAGGGGCAAAGAAGACCGCAGACAGAGTATAGGCTAGGTGGACAAAGACTACATACCTCACTCAGGGAGAAAGTCCTTGGGGTGACCATAACACCGAGCACGTCACCGGAGGCACACATCAACCAAATAACTGCTGCAGCATACGGGCGCCTGGCAAACCTGAGAATAGCGTTCCGATACCTGAATAAGGATTCGTTCAAGACACTGTACACTGTGTATGTTAGGCCCATACTGGAGTATGCAGCAGCAGTCTGGAACCCACACTTGGTCAAGCACGTCAAGAAGTTAGAGAAAGTACAAAGGTTTGCAACAAGGCTAGTCCCAGAGCTCAGGGGAATGTCGTACGAGGAAAGGTTGAGGGAAATCGGACTGACGACACTGGAGGACAGAAGGGTCAGGGGAGACATGATAACGACATACAAGATACTGCGGGGAATAGACAAGGTGGACAGAGATAGGATGTTCCAGAGAGGGGACACAGAAACAAGGGGTCACAACTGGAAGCTGAAGACTCAGACGAGTCACAGGGTTCGTTAGGAAGTATTTCTTCAGTCATAGAGTCGTCAGGAAGTGGAATAGCCTAGCAAGTGAAGTAGTGGAGGCAGGAAGCAGAGAGGGAGAGGACCTAGTAGCGATCAGTGAAGAGGCGGGGCCAGGAGCTGAGTCTCGACCCCTGCAACCACAATTAGGTGAGTACACAACACACACACACACACACACACACACACACACACACACACACACACACACACCACACACACACGGACACGCACATACACACACAACTCAAGGCTGTCTGGCCTCTTAACCACCACAAAAACTTGAATTCATGGTTTGTATCCCACAATGTTGGAGCCTGCAGCCTGCAACTGATAATGTTATTATTGGATTATCACGTGGATATCTGCACCAGGTTGAACAGTCAATGGTGAACCTATACTTGGGACATGATTTTTGTTATGATGGAGACTAAGAGATGGAAATAAGTGGCAACGTTGAAGGAATAACTTTCACTGGTCATAAGAGTATGATGAGAGTGAGTTACCAGGGCTTGCTGGGAGGGAGGAGTTATGAGGTAGTTAATATATAACATAGCTGTAAGTGTGGTCAGAGTGCGTTGACCAAGCAAATTTGGTTTAAAACAAGAGGGAAGAGAACTAGTCAAGCAATTGAAGTGCAACATCTGACTTGCTTACATTCTCAGCAGTAATGTTTGGTCCCAGCGTTGCCATGGACACCATTGACGTCAGTAGGGTGCATCTCGGTTGCCAGCTTTCCCATTGACATCCTAATAATTAATCGCTTAATCTGAAATCAATGCATTTTTACTGGTGACAGTAGCTCCTCGTGTACATCGTGCAATGTCTGTATAATATAGTCATGCGTATATAGGGTGTTTAATAAAGGTAGGGTGGTAGAGTGGGTGTTGTTAGGTGGGTGGGTGGAGGTGTGTGGCAGGGAGGCAGCATGATGGGTGCAGGTGCCTACCATTGTATACCATCAGTTATTCCGAGCCTAGACACCGAGAGGAGTAGACGTGTACACTAGTGCTCCGAGAATTTGTCATCTTCGCACTATGATGCATACCCTGATGTACTCTGAGGTAAGTCGAAAATTTTCAGTCCCTCCTGATGTACTTTCAGAGGACGTAAGTGTGCTGTGGTGGGGATATTAGAGGGTTGAGTGTAGGTGAAAGCTACAGGTGGTCCAGCCAACCTCTCCATCCCACACCAGAAACTTTTTTTGTAAACTTTAAATTCCTCCCTTCCCTTCCTTACTTTCTTTATAATGTTTCAGTACACTTCTTCATAATCCCTTGTTCATCATGCTGACGTATTTTGAGGTAGGAAGCTTGAACGTCTGATGTATTGTGCGTCAGAACGTTAAGGGGGAAAATTGCATCATGTGAATGCAAGATTTGTAGGAAGGAATTGTAATGTTGGAGTGAGGGGGTGTTGTAATGTTGGAGTGAAGATGTGTAGTGTTGGAGGGAGTGAAGGTGTAATGCTGGAGGGAATGAGGGTGTTGTAGTGTTGGAGGGATTGAATGTTGTAATGTTGGAGGGAATGAAGGTATTGTATTGTTGGAGGGAGTGAGGGTGTTGTAGTATCGGTGGGAGTGAGGGTGTTGTAGTTTAGAAGAGATGAGGAGTGTTGTAGTATTGGAGGGAGTGAGGGTGCTCGAGGGAATGAGGGCATTGTAATGTTGGAGGGAGTGAGGGTGTTGTAATGTTGGAGGGATTGAGGGTGTTGTAGTGGAGGGAATGAAGGTGTTGCAGTGTTGGAGAGAAAGTGTTTTGGAAGACTTGGTGGTGTTGCAGGCAAGGAAGGTGTTGTAGTGTTGGAAGATTAATAATGTTGAAGGGAGGATGTTGTGTTGAAGGATTTGGTAGTTTTGGAAGAGGGGGTGTACTTGGAGAATTGGTGTTGGAGGGTTAGTGATGAGTGTGGGCGGTGTTAGAGGTTGTGGGAGTTGTGTTGGAGGGTATGGGGGTCGCGTTGTAGGGTGTATGGTATGTGTTACGAGGGTGCAGTGGTAGTGATGGAGGTGTGGGGGTGATTTGGGAGGATGTAGGGGTGGGCGTTGTGATGGAGTGGGAAAGTGGTGTTAAAGGGTATAGGAGTGGTGGGGGTTGGTGATGGAGTGGGGATCGTGTTGGGGATGTAGGGGTGGTGGTGGTCGAGGGGTTAGTGGGTGGTGGATGGAGTGAGTGTGGTAAAGAGAGTGGGGGTTGTAAGGGGTAAGGGTGGATGGTGTGCGGGTGATAGAGGGTGTGGAAGTGGGGGTGGTTGCTGAGGGTGTGAAGGTGGTGGTGGAAGCCTAGGAGGGAGTGTAAATGTAAAGGAGGGAGCTGGTGTAAGTAGGAGCGGAGGAGGGGGTGTTTGTTTAAGAAGTGAAAGGGAGGAAGACTTTTTTAACAAAATTAGGTACATCAGTAGTGTAGTGCTGCCCAGTTCTACTGCAGCTGATAGTTATTCAGTGGGAATTAAGGCTGAACTGTCAGCCTGAGTTAAAAGACTTGGGTGACTGTAAATGGTTCAAATTGGACCGAAACGTCGTCATAAGCTCCTCTCTCCAGTGTGCGGGTTATTTGTGTATTGTTCCAGTCATGGTATTGTGGTTTTTTGCTCTTTAGAAGATTTCATTAGCGTCATGCTGAGCTGGGAGACTTCAGTAATATCAGACTGAGCTGGGAGACTTGAGTAGTGTCAGCCTGAGCTGGGAGACTAATATAGGGCAATGAGGATATCGTCAAGTATTCCAGTAAGGGCTCATCAGTAACGACAGTTTTGAAGGTTTCTTTCCAGCAGAGCTGGAGTTACTGTCATTTGGGAATTGCCCCATCTTTCAGGGTAGCCAGGTGTAAGACGTTGGAAGGAGTGTTGGTGTCAGCTAGTGGAGGGAAGGCGGGGATGGTGCAAGCAGGTAATGGGAGGGAGGGGGGGATGGTTTAAGCGGGTAATGGGAAGGAGGGATCGTGTAAGCAGGTAACGGTAGGGGAGGAGGAATGGTGTAAGCGGTAATGAGGAGGGAGGAATGGTATCAGCAGGTAATGGGAGGGAGGAAGGCATGGTGTAAGCAAGTGATGGGAGGGAGGAATGGTGTTAGCGGGTGATGGGATAGAGGGAGGGATGGTGTTAGCGGGTGATGGGAGGGAGGGATGGTGTTAGCGGGTGATGGGAGGGAGTGAGAGTTGGAGTACAACATTGAGGGTGGCGTGAGGGAGCATTGGAGTAAATGCGTAGGTTGTTTAATGACTCTCACCCTCCCTCTCTTACGCCTTCCTACCCCCACCTATTCCTCCCATCCCCTCCTCTTCCCCCCATCCCCTCCTCTTCCCCCCACCTACCCCCCCACAATTCACCCCCACCATTCATCCTCTCCCTCTTCCCAGATATTTATAAACGTAATTTCTAGAATTACATTTTGTAATTATATCGTCGTCTAATATACTTTATAGTTAATGACACATTACAGCCTACTCTAATATACTTTATGATTAATGACACTAAATATTTGAGTTTCATCTTTTGGGTGACTTCTAGGATTGTTGCCTTTAGAGATTCCTAATGTTTATAACTTGGTTTTTTGCTTTTGTATGCCTATTTAGTGGACTACAGTTTTTTCTAATAAGCATCAAAGTAAATGTATGGTAAATTTTAAAATATTTAAAACGAATTAAACAATTCGCTAAAGATTGATGTGTGTGTGTGTGTGTGTGTGTGTGTGTGTGTGTGTGTGTGTGTGTTTGTGTGGTTGCAGGGGTCGAGTCACAGCTCCTGTGTGTTTGCCTGATTTTCTCTCTGAGTTATATTTGCTGAATTGTTTGCGGGGATTGATACTGGTGTTCCTGAACCACTTGGGCCTTATATCTACTCTTGAAACAATGTATTAAGTTTGCATCCACCACTACCTCATTCCACTTTTCAGCCACCCTGAGACACAAAATACTTCTTATATCTCTGTGACTCATCTGCATTTTCAGGTTCCACTTGTCCTTTTAATTGTGATCCTCAGAATTCAGATACGTAGTCTCTCCCTATCTGCCCTATCAATTCTTCTTAGGATTTTGTTCATGGTAATCCTCTAAGGTCGTCATGTTCAGGTCCTTCAAGCTTTCCTTATTGAGCAGTCCTCTTAATTTTGATACTAACCTGGTTGAAAAGGCAAGAAAACACAGTGAAGGTGGAAATTTGATAGTTATTTGTGAATGTGTGAATTTGAAAGTTATTTGTGAATGTGTGAGACCCGTAGCATGCGGGGCTGGTGACCAGTGAAGGTATGGTAGTACTGCCACAATTCTTAGTATTTTATTAAGATTTAGACTACATACTCAAAACCAGTGGATCCTTTTCGAGTTTTTTCACGTGCTTTACCAGGTGTGGGCTCCATGCTGGAGCTGCATACTCGATTATTAGCCTCATATGCATATTCAGCTTCCACCTGTACCACGTGATCCCAGTCCTCTTAATCCAGATAGTCTCTCCCTATTTGATGGTGTGGGTATAGCATTGAGGGTATGCTGGTCCAGTTCCACTGCATTCCCAGCTATTTTACACGTTACTTTTTATAACACGTGAATAATTCTTTAGTTACGTTCCTGTAGACTTTTTGAGGTATGTCGGTCTTGCATATGCCACTGATGCTGTATGGTTTGTGTGTGTTTCTAGCGATATGTTTGGTGTTATATTCATTTTCCGATATTTGCAACTTCTCTTCATAAATATTTGTCCAGTCTGCTGTCACCTTCTCTGATTCACATGACCGTGCATTTGTTCAGGATGAACTCAAGAATCCATTTTTTTTTTTTGACTACATCTCTATAGTCTGTTGAGGTCTTCCCAGAGAATGTCTTTCCTCTCCTGCTGTTAGACTTCTCATCAATTTCACATCATCTGCAAACAAGCCCTGCTACTGATCTCTGCAGAACCCCACTTGTTACTCCCTTCTGATGTCTCATCCTTTACTATTACTCTCTGCCTTTTATTCAGGTACTCCTTAATTAACCTACTAGAGCATTCTGCATCTCAGTCCTGCTTGTTTCTCTAGTTTTTGGATAATTTTCTGGTGTGGTATGGTGAGAAATGCTTTCCTGCAGTCCAAGAAGATATAGTCCACCCATTCCTCTCTTTCCTGTTTTATCTCTGTGACTGTTGTAGAAGTGTTTCAATATCCCCTGTCTTACTGTCTTTTCCAGAACTTTTGACAGTATACATATTAAAGATACCAGCCTGTAGGTTATTGCCTTTAGTCTTTTCCACCATTTTTTTTATATGTGGTGACGACACTTGCCTTCAGATTTTTTGACACTTCCTTAATGAACAGACTGGTGGTTGAATGCCTTTGCTACTGCGTCACAGTTGTTCTGTTCCTCTCGGTACCCAAGGAGATGTATTATCTAGTCCCATTGCTTTTGTTGCATCAAGCCCACTTCTTTTGTTGTGTTGATGCTTTCTAGCACCAGTTAATCTGGTCAGACAAAAGTGCTTTCTGGCAACTTGCCATTTTCTTCTGTGAAGACTTCTTTGAGTTTTTGCTAAGCTCTTGGCATACTTCAGCCATTCTCCATCAGCATCCCATTATCCTTCAGCTTTATTACTTTGTCCTTAACAGTTCTTTTTTTTCGTTGTGGCTGCAGGGTAATTTTGGTTCTGTTTTGGCCTTTGATGCTGTTATTTTCAAAATTATTTTCAGCTCATTTTTGTGTATTTACTTCTGCCTCTTTTGCTTGTTTTCCAGTTTTCTGCTGTTTGATTCGTTATTTTTTTTCCAAACCTTCTTGTCTTGGCCTTTCTGAACCAGGTGGCTTTCTCTTTTTGTTATTTTCTTTTCCTTTTGGCACTTTGTTGCTGTTACCTCCATCTTTTGTTGTACATCTTTGACCTTCAGTTCAGTTTCTCGTGGCACCTCAGAACATTTCTCATTCCATCATGGTCCCTCTGTAGTTTTATTTTGTTTTTCATGACTTCCATTTCTTAACTTTTTTTCCATTTCCACCAGCTGCTCTAAAATTAGTACCACTTGATCGTTGGCACCCAGTCCTTCCCAATAAGTAATTTCAGCTGCGTCATAATTTTGTGTAAAAATCAGGTTTAGTCTTGCTGGCTCGTAATCCTCTGGGATTACTGCAATGGTTGTTATTCATGAGAGCTTTGTCTCTGTAATAGCCGTAATATCAGGTTTTCCTCTCTCACACTGTCATGACTTCACTTTTGTTGGTGACTTCATCTACATTCAGGTACCACACTTTAATTCTTTCATCTGTTATGGTACGTCACTTTGTGAAAATACTGGGCAGGGATTCTCTGGGCTCTTTCTATTGTTCACCCTTTCCAAAATAGGAGCCCTATTCCCTGCTTTATCCTGTGTTCCTTCCTTCTTCTTTCTACATTTACTATGTCCTTTCTTCAATGACATAAACGGGGTTGAATTTGCGAGATATCCTCAGACTTGATTTCTAACTCACTTCTAGCTGCTTTGCTTTTGTTCCCATAAACAGAGTTCACAGTAGCAGTGTCTTTTCCTCTTTATACATATATTCTTGCCTGAAAAAAAATTCTTGTCTCACTGTCAAGTCACTTAACAAGTCACTGGTGACTAGGTAGTGTCCAGGACGGACCAAAACCGTGTCATAAGGTTACTTTCCAAAGTGTGGGTTATTAGTAAATTTTATTTTCCAATTTCTCATTCCTCCTTTATTCACCTTTATTATGTTTCTCTCAGGTTCTCTTCATTTAATCTGAAAGTCACGAGAGTTCTGTGTTATATTCCCCTCTTCCTATACTATCAGAGTTTCCTTAGCTACTTTAATTCCTCAGGGTCACTAACTATTTCTGCTATCTTCTTTCTTATTACCTACTAGGAATAAGTTGGTTGCTCATATCCTTGACTTTCCCAGTTTGTTTTTCTCTGCCTCTGATCTGAAGTATGCCTTAGCAGCCTTCATTATCAGATCCTTCATTCCCTTGTATCTCCCGTACTTGGTTTAATTTCCTGTATCTGTTCCTTTTCTTTTGCCTCCTCCTCTAGCTTGATAAATTTCTCCTCAAACTTGTATCCTTCCTCATGGTCCAGTCTGATTTTCCAGCCAGCAGATTACTGGGTAGTCACATTTGAGACACTACATTGAACAGTCCAGCCACCTTTCTCTGTCATATTTCCGGGACCTTTGTTTAACAGCTGAAGGGCCCAGACAGTCAGAGTAGGTACGAGATTTTCGACCAAGTCTTCCAGTACCTACTGCCACTGTTCACCAGGTTCCTGAGTGTTAGCTAGTTGCTGTGGGATGCATCCTGGAGAAGAGTTTCGAAGGACACCAATGGAAATAAGTTACGGTGACTGGCTTTCTTGGGTTATCCTGGGTTTCTAACCCTCCGGGATTGCTGTGTGTGTATTTGGCACATGGTATCCTTTATACATATATTAAATTCAAAGGGAACACTAACTCAGGAATTACACAGTTCCTGAGACAGTCAGATTTGATCCGAGGAAGGGAAGAATAGGTCTAATTCCTTGGATCAAGAGCCCTTCATCCGCATCAAGACATATCTTGAGAAGTTATATTCGTAGTTATATATATATATATATATATATTATTATATATATATATATATATATATATATATATATATTATATATAATAGCTGAAGGGATATGCTTCTGTGTTGGGTGTAGCTTGTTGCATAATAAGTTTGTGTACTGTGTTACAGATGAACCAAGCAGTGCCAGGCGGAGGGGTGTCGCTGAGCCCTGGTCACGAGGGCGGTTATGGAGAGTGCCAGGTGCCATCTCCGTCCCAGTGGTCTGACCCTTGCTACTCTCCTCCCTCCTTCCACTCCCCTCAGCACCTACCAGGGGAGCTGGAGAAGGTGAAGGATGAGCCCTTCTCTCCCTCACCGTCATCCAACTCCCTGTCGCCTTCCTCCCCGGGTCAACAACGAGCTTCTCCCTATGCCCGTCCTCACAATTTGAAGAAGGAAGGGTTCGAGGCCTCGCTGAGCCTGTCGGAGCTGCTGGCGGAGAACCAGATGCTGACGAGCGTGCACCAGCAGGTGCCCCTCTACTCCCCCTACCCCGACCACCCGCTTCTGCGGGGCCGCCTTGAGGACAACACTTTCCAGAAGAAGATGGTGGTGCCTGGCTACAAGACGCCATCACCCAGCACCATGAGCGAGGGGCTGGGCTTCCTTGACATGCTGGTGGACGTGAAACAGGAGGCAGAGGAGGACGTGAATTCTGGATCCTCCTGCGGGTCGCCTGCTGCACCTGCCCCGCCGCAGCCCAACACCAACTCTGCAGCCGCCGCCGCCGCCGCCGCCGCCGCTGCAGCAGCTTGCCAGAGGGACATTCTAGAGACTGTAGAGCAGCTGGCGCTGGAGCATGCCAGGAGGGATGTACAGCGGGTGTCAGACTCTCTTAACATCCCTAGAGGTGAGTACCTCAACACTGGTTTACACCTCATTATCCCCCCCCAGGGTTGAGTACCTCAACACTGGTTTACACCTCATTATCCCCCCCAGGGTTGAGTACCTCAACACTGGTTTACACCTCATTATCCCCCCAGGGTTGAGTACCTCAACACTGGTTTACACCTCATTATCCCCCCCCAGGGTTGAGTACCTCAACACTGGTTTACACCTCATTATCCCCCCAGGGTTGAGTACCTCAACACTGGTTTACACTCATTATCCCCCCAGGTTGAGTACCTCAACACTGTTTACACCTCATATCCCCCCAGGGTTGAGTACCTCAACACTGGTTTACACCTCATTATCCCCCCCAGGTGAGTACCTCAACACTGGTTTACACCTCATTATCCCCCCCCAGGGTTGAGTACCTCAACATGGTTTACACCTCATTATCCCCCCAGGGTTGAGTACCTCAACACTGGTTTACACCTCATTATCCCCCCAGGGTTGAGTACCTCAACACTGGTTTACACCTCATTATCCCCCTAGGGTTGAGTACCTCAACACTGTTTACACCTCATTATTCCCCAGGGTTGAGTACCTCAACACTGTTTACACTCATTATCCCCCAGGGTTGAGTACCTCAACACTGGTTTACACCTCATTATCCCCCCCAGGGTTGAGTACCTCAACACTGGTTTCCTTCACACATACACCTCATTAAACCCCCCCCCAGGGTTGAGTACCTCAACACTGGTTTCCTTCACACATAACCTCATTATCCCCCCCTAGGGTTGAGTACCTCAACACTGGTTTACACCTCATTGTCCCCCCCCCCCAGGGTTGAGTACCTCAACACTGGTTTCCTTCACACATACACTTCACTGGGAAATAGATTCAAGCACCTCAACTTCAGTTCCCATCAAATATACACCTCAACATACCAGTGGGAAGTACCACAACACCAGTTTCCACTATAAGCCCTGCTAACTTTTACTGTTTAGTGCAGTTTAGGGGCGAGTTTACCCTTAAACTGTCCAAACGTAGATCTACGTTTTTTTCAACAGTTGAAAGTATGTAAAAAAAAGTAGATCTTCTTTTTGTTTTTTTACATTTGAAAACGCGTAAAAAAACTTTGATCTACTTTTTTTTTTGTTACATTTAAAAATATATAAGAAAATGTAGATCTGCTTTTGGAGCACAACGCCGGGTCGCCATCTGGAGAAGACCCGGCCGGAAGTACCAGCAAATCCCTAATGAATGAATGAATGGAGCACTACGCTTGTGAATATAGATCTGTTTGGACAGTTTAAGGGTTAAAGCTCACCCCTAAACTCAGGTAGGTTATTACTCTCACAGGTTTAACACTTCATTACACGAGAGAGGTCTCCAACTCGTCATTATTACTACACTTGTATATTGATACACCTTTACACAACTCATTGAGACAGGCTTTTAATTAATTTTTGATAATTTGGTTGCTGTAGTGGCAATAAATATTAGTGTTTTAATTAAAGCATATACCATGTTAAATACTATAATTTACATTTTGCTATAAATACACCGTGTTGCAACTTGGCCCTCCAAGTAACAGAGAGGGAATATTATTATTGTTGCCTGGTTGAAATGATCATCGACTAATTTCATAACTAATGCAAAGTATCCAAACCACAAATTTCACTGTTAACAAATGATTTTTGCAGATGTTGGTTTTGGGAGATTTTTAATCACAACATACATTATGAGGAAGAATGTTGGCAAACTGCGGACCATGTCAGTACAAAGACCGAATAGTACAAAGTGGATCACTATCAATCATTGTACTTGCTTCAAAATCGTGTTAATTATATATCAACATATATAAGAATTAATTTTATCTCTATTTAGGGATTAATTTAAGTCTTGTTTGAGGCGCAAGGGTATCATGCAGTCTAATGACTCTGATCTACCTGTATCGTGCTAAACCCCCATTACGCTACAGTACAAGTTCCGAATTGCAATGCATCAGGACGTTGCTTCATGTATAAGCCCCAAAGGAAGGTTCCGTTTGGTTGAGAGGGTCTTGATTTAGAATTGGATTGGTCCAGTTCCGAATTAAGCCTGAATGCCTTCCACACCACACCCCAGTCTTGCTATAATCTCCGGCGTTTAAGCGCCTTCCACTACTTCGATTTGAATAAAATATCACAGTAAATACCAACTGTAAAATGTTAATTTGCTAGGTTAGGTTTAGGTATAGGTAAGTTAGGTTGGTGTGAGTTACAATTGATTGGACTGAGTTCAGTTTGGTTTGGTTGGGTTGGGTTAGATTTAGTTGGGTTAGGTTTAATTGGACTATCCAATGTAATTTAACCTAATAGAATCTAACATAACTTAATACAGCCTAACAACCAACCTAATTTATCTGAATCTAACTTAACATAAAAACTCGACTCATCCCACCCTTAGAGGTCTCCCCTTCCCTCAACTCACCCTCCCCCATCCACACACCTTCCCCTCTCCCTCCCCTATCTTAACATCTCCCTCTCCTCCCCCTCCACTCCAACCCTTTCCCGTTCCCTTACCCTCCCTGCCTCTCGCCTCCTCTTCCCTTCCCATCATATACCTCTCCTACCCTCACTCCCTCTTCCACCCGCTTCATTCCCTCCACAGCTTCCTCTCTTCACTTCCCCACTCCTCTCACCCCCTCTCTACTTCCCCACACGCCTCATCCCTCTACTCCCCTACTCTTTTCATCCCCTACTTTCTTCGCCCCCCTACCTGGAGGGTATTCCGGGGGTCAACGCCTCCGTGGCCCTATCCCCGACCTGATCAATCAGGTTGTTACTGCTGGTCACACACAACCTGGCTGATCGGACACTGACTTTAGGTATTTGTCCAGCTCCCTCTTCAGGACAGCCAGGGTTCTATTGGTAATTCCTCCTTGTACTCTACCTGGAGTCTTCTCCCACTCTTCACCCCCTTTATCTACTCCACTCTCTCTCCATATCCCTATTTTCTCACCTTCCTCTCCACTCCCCTACTGTCCTCACCCCTTTTCACCAACATTTCCCCCTCTCCCCGTCTCTTCACTCCCCTACTCTCCTCACCCCTCCATCCCCAAAACTTCCCCACTCTCCTTATCCCCTCTCCACTTCCCCTGTCTCCTCACCTCTCCACTCCCCCTCCCTTGCCACCCAGTTTATGGAGGAGCCGCCCTTGGAAGAGCATGTTTTTGCAGTGTCGGCAGTAACTGTTGAACGGCGTTACTCAAGGCCCTCTGACTGCCAGGGCCTTGGTGGATGCTCTTTGTTCTGTGTGTGTGTGTGTGTGTGTGTGTGTGTGTGTGTGTGTGTGTGTGTGTGTGTGTGTGTGTGTGTGTGTGTGTGTGTGTGTGTGTGTTTAGTTCCTGGCCTCCCTTCATGGACTGCAGTCGCACAACACAAGGCAGACTGCATTGCATACATATCTGTTGTAGTGCTCGTTGGGTCTTGTTCTCACATTGTGTCCTGTTCCTCTTCCTTTTGTTGATGGGTCTCAAACCCTGTTGGGTTCTCTTTTTCTTTTTTCTTAATCTGTGCGCACTAGTGACATTTTATGAACTTTTAATGTTTAATAGTTGTATTTTGGTGTCAGTGAGGCCATGATTAGTACCTTCACTCTTCCTTCTTCATTCATGTTAGTGCCTTCACTTCTTCATTCATATTAGTGTCTTCACTTTCTTCCTCATTTTATTAGTGTCTTCACTCTTCCTTCTTCACATTTACAAAAACAAGGTCAAAATATGTAGAGGAGCTTCATGAGAACTGACTATAACTCCAGTTCTTTTAAAAGGAGACTTTCTAAGCTGTTATAGCTACTGCACCCGTAATGAAATTCTTGACGATATCTTCATCTTACGAAAGTCTACCAGTTGAGGCTAACAAGACCTTCCTTCCTGCCTCATCTGTACAACTCATCTTGGGATGGAAGGTGACAAGAATACATAAATAGAATTTGTTCTCCATTGTGTAACTACTATACGGAGCAGGGTAACTGAACACTGCTAATGCAGCTGAACCTGGCATCATTGGAAGAGCTAAATGTCAGGAGACGTGCCCACGGCGTATAAGATACTCGCGGGCTTTAACAGAGTGGACAAGGCGTGACTGTTCGACGTGTGAGGGATGCAGAACAAGAGGGCACAGATAGAAGTTGAACACAGAGACGATAGGAAGCACCTTGACTGTGTAAGTCTTGTGAAGACGTGAGATTTGAGGGGGAAGGGTGGATTTGAAGTAGAGTTGAGGGTTGGAGGATGGAGTCGTTAGTGTTAGCGGTATCTGTTGTACGTTAAATAAAATGATTTTATTGATTATGGTGGAAAATCATAATTTACTAGAGTGAAAAATAAATTAATCGAGTATTAAAATATCACGGATTATGGAGCCACCTTAACTACCTAGGTAAGCTTATGTCTGCCGACCACCACCACCACCCACTACCAACAACCACCACTCTGGTGGTGATGGTGTGTGGACACTCTTGAGCCTTGTCTTGAGGGCTGACCAGTTTTTGTCCCTTATTTTGTGCCGCCTGAGCGGCTAGTTTATTGTGCACTCTGGGTTCACGGTGTGAGTGGTAGCGCAAAAGAAGAGACAGAGGTCACGATGATCTTTATCAGACCACCCTGGGCTTAGTTCCATCTGTAACAATATTAGACAATTCATATAAACAGTTTCTTCACGTAGCCAGTGTAATATGTATATACAAACTACAAAGAAAATCCTAGCATCTTATTGCCAGTAAACGCCATTGATCATTTAAAGGCTACAGTTTCATCAAGGAAAAGTTCAGACATCTAACAGGCGCAAAATGTAGATAAAATCTCAAGATTTCAGATATCTTATAATTAACATTGAAGTAATTTGCCGGTACTTGTAGGGTTTGCATGGGAGTGTCTCCGAAAGGTTATATGCTTGGACACTAAGATACATTGCTCGTGTATGGTCCTATCTCTGTCCACACACTTTACATTCTCATGTCATTAACATCTACCTATAA